GATCCCATGGGGGAATAGGATCCCAGGGGGGGGTGATCCCATAGGATCCCCCGGGGATCCCATTGGGGGGGGCAGGAGGGGATCCCAGGGGGGGGATCCCCTCCTGCCCCCCCCATGGGATCCCCCCCCATGGAGAGTCTCCCGAGTTGTGCAGGACGCGGGCCCCCCGACCTCTCGACCGCCCCCCTGGCGCCAGTCTCTTGCCTGCCCCGGGCCCTTCCCTCCCCGGCCCAGAGGCGGCCTCCCAGGGCCCGAGTGGCCCTGCGCCGCATCTCCCTCAGGAGAGGAAACACACAGACACAATTCATCCTCGATTCCCCCGAACATGTGGGAAAATATGGGAAGTGGGGGGGAAGACAGAAACCCAGAAAATATGACAATATATGGGGAACAGTTTTATTTGTGTGTATTTATTTGTGTGTGTCCTGGGGCCCCTTCACTCTCGGCCTCCAGGGCGGGCTGCTCGGCCTCGACGCGCGCAGTCGGCTCGAGGCATAGGATCGAGGTCGGTTCGGAGAGGGTGCCCTGATGTTCTTCGTGCTTGTCGGATGTTTTTGTGCATCCTGGGGGGGGGGGACACCCTCGAGTGTCCTTCAGTTTGGGCCAGGGGAGGGCCTCATGTTCATGAAGGGTGCTCTTCTGGCCCAGGTCCGGTTGCGCGCGCTCTCAGCCGCGTGCTGCCTCGCCACGTTCGAGGACAGGCTCCATGGCGAACTCGCGATCCGCTCCCGCACAAAGGAGCTCCGTGCAAGTGCAGCTCGATCGAACCAGCTGGGGTGACGCCACGTCATGGCGTCGTGGTTCGTATCCGCGTTCGCTCTTCAATTCGATTCTGCCGTCGACCACTTCACGGAGGTCGGATTCGGGGCCCAACGGATCCAAACACGAATCCTGGGGCGTCTTAACCCTCGCGCCCCGGAGGACCTCCTCATTCTCCGGCGCCCGTGGCAGAAGACATGTCGGGATATCGACCCGCGCCCCCCTCGAGCTATTCACGCGGCAACGGCTGGCGCGGCACGATGTGGGATTTTTCGAGCGGACGCGCGCTGATCGCACGCTGTTGCCGTCTCCTAGCGCGGGCGCGGGCCGCAGTGTTGCGTGCGCGGTGGAGTGGTTGGGCAACGAGCCTCCGATTTCAACGGCAGAGTCGCTGCACCGCCGGGTGCGCCTGCGAGGACAGCATCGAGCACTGCGCCCGGCGCCCTGTCGCCCGCGAGTTCGGCCCCCGTTTCCTACACCTCGGCGCGCCAGTCGGCCCTGCAACAATCGAGGGTGTGTTTGATGTTGGTACCACGCTGCTCCGCGGGAGTTTGCCGCGTATGTGTTGCATTGTCGGTCGGCGCAGGTTGCATTGTCGGTTGGCGCAGGTAGGAGGCGCTCGCACGCTTGCTTGGTAGGCCCTTGCCCGCGCGGCCGAGGAGATGGCGCGCGGCCTTGGCGACGGCTTGCGTCGCTCGCGCCTGGGCTCCGCCCCTTTCTTGCCTCCCCGCTGCCGCCGCTGTTCTGCTTCGGCTCTCCACGTAATTACTTACTTGGATTTCAGCCGCCGCTCCGCGCAAGGTGGGCCAGTTTTCGCTATGCCTCGCTCGGTGCAGTGGGGGCTCGCTTGTGCTAATTCTGCTGTCCCTCCTCTTCTCCTTCCTTCCTCCTCCCCTCCTCCCTTCGCTTCTCCTCGCTCAGAGCGTGGCGCCGATACGTTTGCGGGTGAAATCGTATCGTTGTAGGTGCCCGAATTTCCGCCCTTTTAACTGGATCTGATCTTGCCCGGGTCGGGGGCCCTTGCCGATTTTCGCGGATATGGATATGCTCCCCGATTCGTTGTCACAGGTAGGTTTTCTTGTTTGCGCCCGTCTGGGTAGGGGGTGCAGGCTGCGTCCGTCCAGCCTGCGAGGCAAGTTGTATACGATCGCTGTCCGCAATCAACTCCTGCTCCGCCCGAAAAAAAGAGTTGACCGCCCCGAGGTCGTCGAGCCGGTGAGCGTCCGGGAAAAAGGAAGGACGGCGAGGAAGAGTCACAGTCAGGGGCATTGTTCGAGGGGGCATTGTTTCAGTGGGGGACGCCTCGACCAGCGACTGCCGGTAGGGTCTCGATAGTCGCACCCCGCCCAGGATCATTTAGACCCGCCATCGGGGACATCGCCGACTTATCGGCGATGTATCGTCGATTCCCGTTCGATGTTTTCTCCCTTGAGCTGGCCCCCCTGACGCCCCCCCTCAAAAGAAGAACGGCGTAGGAGGAGGGAACACATGGAGTACTACAGCAAGAAGGGGCGCAGACCAGCGCCAGAGCGATCCCTCCCTGGGCGGGTCCCCGTCGAACCTTGCCCGCCAGAGGAGGAGCAAGGGGCGCGTTCATGGAGAGGGGGCGCATGATGTCTCAAGCTCCCCTCGGTGATGCACGCAGCATTCAAGCAGTAAAGCACCCGAGCCTTGAGCAGGGAGATGGATGGGGTGTGTGGTGCTGCAGGAGGAGGAGGAGGAGGAGGAGGAGAAAGAAGAAGAAGAAGAAGAAACAGAAGAAGACGAACACGAAGACGAATACGGAGACGAAGAAGAATAACATCAGTAATAATACTAAGCGTAAACATCATCATAATTAGAAGAAGTAGGAGGAGGAGGTGCAGGACAGCGCCTCGGCTTTCAAGGTGCTGCGCCAGCCCTGCTTGCGGCCCTGACCTCGCGCGTGTCAAAGGCCGCGCGCCAGGGCCGACGAGCCAGGCACACTGGAGCGGCGCGCGTGCATCCTAGTCATCGCCACCGTGCCTCATGCCTCGGGTGGCGCCGGCTACTGACCTCTCCTTGTTGCGAGGCAGTCGCAGCGGGAGCTCTCGGGCGGTGTTCGGCTTCCAGTGCGGCTTCACCGAGCCCCAGGCGTTGTCAGGATACGACTCGGGATGAAACGCCGGTCCCTGGGATAAGGTCCAGGGCTCATTTCGACGCCTCCGATTCGATTCCAATCGATTTCGATGGCTTCCGCTTCCGATTCGATTCGACTTAGGATTCCGATTTGGGTTCCGATGATTTATCGGACGCATACTAGCCCCCCGATTCGAGCCGATCCGACTTTTCCCGACTCGGCTGCCGATTTCCGCCGATCCGATCCATTTCGATCGCCGACTCGACTTGTCGACTCGATTTTGGACTCTACTGCGGCTTGCTACGGGGGGGTGCACGCGTGCACCAGGCCCAGGATTGGCTGGCCCGGCGTCGGTGAGGCGGGTAGCCGGCGCCCCACGATCGGGTATTGCTGGAAGCGCCCCTGGCCCAAGGGGCCCCCAGGATTTTCACGGAGGCTTTCACGGCCTCCAGAGCCTCCCCTCACGAGGCCCCCAGGGGCCCCAGGGGCTCCAGCTAAAACGACGCGAAGATCGGGACAACATCGGATCGGGATAACTCGAAATCTCCGAGGATCGGCGGGTTTGGAGGATGTATTGGGCACCGCGGCCGCTCCAGAGCGTTCCGGAACGCGCTGAGAGCGCTCCAGAACGCTCTGGAGCGATTTATCCCGATCCTAGCCCTGTTTTACCAGCATAGGACGACGAGCTGGGGGCACCCGCTGGGCCAGGGACGCCTGCGGCAGCTCTCGGTACGACTTCTATGGGCCCGAAGACTTCGGCCGCCGTGACCGACCCACCGCGCGGGGGATCTGTGCGCCCTGCGGGGGGCGGAGGAGAAAAAAGAAGCAGGTGCGCGGGCGAGCCGAGGGTTCGGGGGAAGAGCAGGCACCGATGCCGCTGCTCGTCCCGGAGAGCCCTGGTCACCACGGCTGGATGATCCGCGGAATTGAAGTCAGAACGCACCCTGGGAGGATTACACGATGCGAGGGTACCTTGCCATCGTCCTCCTCCATTAGGTCCGGGGAGCAGCGGTATCCGCTCCTGTTTGTTGCCCCGAGGACGTGGCTGGTCCATGGGCGGCGGTGGCAGGTTGAATGTTTGAGGTGTCCTGCGCGCGCTGGCTCCAGCCCCATCCAGGAGCGGCGGATTGTTGTCGATCTCCACGCCCTGGGGTCCTAGAGGTCCTCGTCGTCGTCGGGCTCCTGGGGCCTTTCCATGGGCCCCCCTGACCGTCGAGGAACGGCTCGGGATGAGGGGCTCGTCGTGGGGAGGGACCCCGGGTCCAGGGCCCGTCTCCTTCGGCCCCCCTCCATGCTCCGTCCCGGTCCAGGGACCAGAGCAAGCGAGGGCGCGAAGAGTCACCCGCGCGTCACGCATTGTGGGGCGCAGTGCGCAAGTGGGGGGTCCACCTCCCGGCTCCTCCTCCTCGCTCTTTCCGTGCCACTCTGCTGCCAGGCTCCCTGGCCTGCTCCTTCTTGCTCCCTCCCCTCACCTCTCTCCGTGGCCAGCTGCACCGCGGAGTCTCCCCTGCCATCAGTTGGGGAGCCGGCTGATTGTCAGGACATTGAACAAGGTGGGTCACCTGGACTACGCTCCGTTCCTCATGATGATGATGACGATGATGACGATGACGATGATGATGGTGGTGATGGTGATGTTGGTGTTAATGGTGATGGTGATGGTGATGGTGATGATGATGACGATGATGTTGGCGATGATAGTGATGGTGAGGGTGATGAGGATGAAGTTATTGACGACGATGGCTATGATGGTGATGATGTGGGTGATGATGGTTGTGATGATGGTTACGATGACGACGAGGACGATGATGATGAGGAGGAGGGGAATGATGAGGATGATGTTGATGCTTAGTATGATGCTACTGGTGATGTGTGTGGCGGCGGCGGTGTTGATGGTATAATAGTTAGGATGATGACACTGATGATGATGATGCTGATGATGATGGTGATGATGATGGTGGTGACGGTGATGGTGATGGTAATGGCGATGGTGATGCTGATGTGCATTTTGATGATGGTCATGGTGACGATGACGAGGACGATGCTGATGTTGATGATGATGATGATGATGATGATCATGATGATGATAATGATGCTGGTGATAATGATGATGACGATGCTGCTGCTGATGATGATGATGGGGATGAAGATGAGGATGAGGATGAGGATGGTGATGATGCAGATGGCGGTGATTGTGATTATGCTGATATTGGTGATGATGATGGTGATTGTGCTGGTGATGATGATGATTATGATGATGGTGCTATGTTGATGGTTATGATGATGATGATGCTGTTCATGATAATGAGGATCATAGTGCGAATGATGATCCACATCATCATTGGCACCATCGTCCTCACCACCGTTATCATCAACATCCTTCCCGACCTTGACCTCATCATCCTCAGCATCCTCCTGCTTACATAGCCTACTCTAGGCGGTAATGGCGCGGGGGCCCTGCGCCAGCGACGGGCACGTGCACATGTTTCCCATACACGATCAGCTTTCGGACGCATGAGCAGAGGTCCGTGGGGTGGCACTCCTCCTCCTCCTCCTCCTCCCCCTCCTCCTCCTCCTCCCCCTCCTCCTCCTCCTCCTCCTCCTCCTCCTCCTCCTCCTCCTCCTCCTCCTCCTCCTCCTCCTCCTCCTCCTCCTCCCCGTCCTCAGGCTGGTGCGGGGACGAGGCCCCCGCTGGAGGGGTGACCCCCTGCGGGGGCGCCCTCCGGCGCAGGGCGGGGCGGCGGCCATGGCCGGCCACGAGCGGCCCGTCACGTCGCTGTCGGACCTCTCGGACGTCCGCTCGCCCACGCCGAGGCCCCCGACGGACGGAGCCACTGACCGATGCCGACCGACCGCCCACGCCGACGACGACCACGACGACCACGACGACGACGACCACCACGACGAGGGTGACGACCGCGACGGACGACGACGACGAACGACAACGACGACGACGCCCCTCAGGGGCAGCACCAGGGGTCCAGCTGTGCCTGCGCCGTCGTCGTCGTCGTCGTCGTCGAGGTCTGTCCTGAAGTGCAAGACATTGGCGGCAGCTGTGCGCCTGGCAACCGGGCGTGCGCATCACCATTCTCCGCTGCCCCCCCCCCCCAGGGGGCGCAGGAAGTGGCGACATGGGCGGGCTCCTGGCAGTGCAGAGCGCAGGGCGAGATCTCGGTTTGTGTCGCATGTCAGCATTCATCCCATATTCTGCAGGCGCCACCTCGAGGACAACTGAGCGCCGCGACGCTCACCGCCCCGCCCCCTGGCGGCCGAACTCTGTTCGCAGTGGCGTCCGTTGGTCCGCCTCTCCGCATCACCTTTCATCGACCCCCCCCCCCGAGGGGCGCAGGATAGTGGCGCTGGGGGCGCGCCTGGCAGTACAGAGCGGAGGGCGAGGTCTAGTGTGGGTCTGCGGTTGTGCTTGCGTATCTGCAGGGCGCATGGGAGAAATTCAGCAGGTGCGCGCCAGGCAGGAACGCAGCGGAGGGCGAGGTCTCCTGTGGCGACACGCTGACTTTGGACCCCCAGGGGCGCAGGGACGCGACAGGGCGAGCGACGTCGAACGCCTGGCAGCACAGAGCGGAGGGCGAGGAGAGAGAGGGGGGTGAGACGACCAGGGGAGCGAGGGTGCAGGAGACGCGGAGAGGGGAGGGGGCAGGAGGAGACAGGAACAGCAGCGCAGTGTTCGCTTCAAGCTCGAGGAGTCGCAGCCATCCGACCGCCCGACCTCTCCTGGGGTGGGTGCGGTCTGACCGGACCAGACTTCAGAGGCGGATCCAGCCGTGGCAACGACGCTGCCCCAGGACGATCAGGACCGTCCAGAACTCGCAGAAAGACAACCGGCGCGGCGTAAACATGAGTACTTCTTTTGAGATCCGCGCAGATCTCTTGGATCTGTGCTGGGCCCTCCTGGCGGAGACTCCCGCGCCGCCTCTGGCACTTTTCGCGCTGGGACATCCCCGCCCCGACAGTCTCCCTCCGCCCCAGGGTCCAGTTCGATCCGATCGATGCCATACGATATCGACTCGGGCCAGCCCAATCCGACTCGATTACGATATTCGAGCGATTCAATGCGGCACGATGTTTGCATGGCGCTGTTGTGCATCTTGGCGCAGCCGATTCAATCCGATTCCAACTCCGTGCCGGTGCTCTGCGATCCGACGCACATTTCGATTCGATCCGTTTTCGCGATTCGGTGCTGACCGATCCCGCCGCCCAGAGTCTGGGGCGGCCCAGAGGGGGGGTGATGACTAGGGGGCGGGGGTGGATGTCATGGTGGGGGGCATGACATCTCCCCAGCTCCCATGGGCCCCTCGTCTTCTTTTGCGCCCCGCCCCCCACCCCTCCCCTCTTGGCCTCCCCCGGCCGAAGCCCGGGCACGCCCCGCGCAGCCTGCCCCTCGAGCCCCGACCCTCGAGATCCCGATCCTCGAAGTCCCGGCCCTCGCGCCCCGCAGCTCGAGCCCAGAGGCTCGGGCCCCCGGAGCTGCCCCGCCCCCGCCGCCCAGGCTGGACACCTTCGCCCTCGACGCCTCGCGGGCCTCCACCGCCCTGCCGTGGCAGAGCGCCAGCGCGCGGGGCACGCGCAGCCACACGCCCACGAGCGCGAGCTGCCTGGGGCCCCTGGCGCGCGCGGCGGCCCTGGACCTCGGCGGCGGCGTCGTCGGCGCTGCGGCGAGCTGGGGCGGGTCGTGGTCGTCGTCGTGGCCGTCGTCGTGGCCGTCGTCGTCGAGCTGCGGCGCGGGGCGGCGCCGCCGCCAGCGCCGTGGTCGTGGCCGTCGTGGGCGTCGTGGTGGCGGGTCGTTGTCGTGGTCGTCGTCGTGGCCGCGGCCGTATTCGTCGTCGTCGCCGCCGCCGCCGTCGTCGTCGTCGTCGTCGTCGTCGACGCCACACGGGGCACCATCAGTCGTCAGATCGTCGGAAGAGAGTAGGATGATTGAAGACTGGAACTCGGGACTCTTGGGCATCCTGAAGCACTTGGGGGCCTCTTGGGGACGCCTCTCAGCGCCACAGCTGGGCCATATCCTCTTCGGCACACGCCCACGACGACGAAGCAAACCCAGACCGTCAACGTACTGAAAGTATGCTGGTGTTTGGATGTGTTTTGCAAATTCCAGCCTCCTGTGGCCCTCGCAGGGCCACGGGACGCTCAACAACGACTCAGGATGAAAAAGCAAGACGCCGAGCCTCGGGGTCGGCGGAGCATCACAGTTGGGCGAAGCCTACCAGTGAGTTCAAACGCTGCAACGTCACTCAGACATCTTTCACGTTTTCACCGCAAACCGCGACTTGTTCAAAGCTATGATCTATCTCCTGCAGTGCGTGACGTGCTGCAAAACATCCACTCTCCTGATTCTCCAGACTGGAAGATATCATGATAAACTGATGCCTCGCATTGCATGTGAAAATCCCCCAGCGCTTGATATGATTGCCTAGGGCTCTGAAATATGCCGATCTCCGCTTGTGAAAAGATCCACCCGTCTCCCATGGCTGTGGATATTGATCAGAGCCGATACATGCCAGCGTACAACAGCCAACCGTTGTGGGAAGACATCCAGCGGCCAAAACGGAACCACCAGGGTGGGCGAGCGGTGGGGACAAGCAGTGTCTCCTGGGCTGCGAGCGGCTGGCGCAGAGCACTCGCATCAATTCACGCGAGACGTGATGCGCTCCAGCTCGGAGCCCGGGTCGGCCCCGTCAAAACCCACAGAGGATTGGCCCATTGCAACTCAAACCATAGACGTGCAAATTAGCAACGGATTGCCAGGATCTCCTGCTCTACGAGCATCACCTCCCAGTCCCAGATCAAGAAGCTTCCCGTGAAGTTGAATTGGGCGGGGGTCCTGGCAGACGCCGGAGCTCGCGCAGAAACACCACTGATGGCGGTCCACAGGTCATCCGCCACCTCTGTGGGGACCCCTGACAAGCCGCGCTCCAGTTCAGCCATCATATCGGGGCTGGATCGCGCGCGGATGTCGACGACGAAGCGTCCGCCTGTGACGTTCAGGCGGCACCCAAGCGGGTCGATGCCCGTCCAAAAGCGTAGCTGAAGCGCGTGCAACTGACAAGACAAGTCTACTGACGGCCATGGTAATATTCCTGGCTGCAAGGGCTACTGCCCCTTCTGCTCCCGCCACGTCGTGCCACTGCTGCTCCTCCTGCTCCTCCTGCTCCCCTCCACCAGGCTGGCCGCAGCGTCGGCGCTCCTGGTGATGTTTTGGGAGCAAGCTCGCAGGAAAGATGACCACGAGCGTCACGAGGGCGATGAGAGGGAGGAAACAGGGACCAAACCCTGGCCTTATCAACAGAAGCCTGCAATCGCCTTGTAGCGGCCGCCTTTGACCACTCTGGCCGCCAGGGCTCTCATCGCCTGTGGTATGAAATGCACCCCGCCCGGGATGACCTGGCCCGCCGCCTCTGCTGGAATTGCTGACAGTGTGGTTGGTGGCGGCGGCGTGCCCGGGGACGTAGCCGAGGGCGGGGTAAAGACCATCATCGGTCCAGGCGGCGTAGCTGCCCTGGACGCCGTCGACGGCGCTGGCCACGGGACCCGCAACCAACTGCCTGGCGTACCAGGAGTCTGCGGCAGCGGCGGCACGGCTTGGCCCACCTCTGTCATGGATGGGGGCCACATCCACTGACCAATGGCCTTGTCCTTGACCACCCCCTTGGGCGCTATATTGTGGAACCGAGCTGACGCCGAAAACTGAATCTGGGAAGTACTGGATCCAGCCCTTATTGAGCCCTTCGTGTTGAGCTGCGTAAGGATATGGCTGGCTCTGGCGATATCCGTGTACATTCTCAGGCTTGCATTCCAGACCCATCTTCCAGTTTCCCGAACTTCCTCAAAGGACAGACCCTCCGCACGACCGTCACCGGCCCATCCTGTCTTGGGCCTGCGAGCCCCACCCCGCTGACAGGCCCAGCGAGGCCGCCACCTCCTTCATCAGCTTCCGATAGCGAGCCAAGCTATGTGGGGAACAGCGGGGCGCCAGCGGAGGCAGCCCTTGTGATAGCCTCGAGCACACTCACATTCATGACTTCCCGGTCCTCCTGATAGGTGCGGCTACCTGGGGCTTCTTGAGCCTTGTCCCCGTACGAGGAGCCAAGGCAATAGAAGCAGCGTCGTCATCAGCACCCTGATGTCCTCAGGCAATGTTCCCAAGAGTTCCGAAGGCCGAAGGCCCGTGTGGCACTGTAGTATGATATCGAAGCCCATGCGAGGGTGACCTCTGTAGGCCAGATGGACCCCAAGGAGCTTGCCTGGATTCTTTTCCCAGCGGAGTCGTGTGTTTACCATATCTATCCCGCTCCCAACCTCACATCGTTGCTCGGCTCCGCAACATTTTTTAATCTTTGGAAAGAAGAACTCAACTAACGACACGATGTTGATAAGCTTTGTTGGTGTTGGGAACTCATACTGATCCGTGTTGAACTCAACCAAGAGATCGTCCCACTGGTCAGGGCCGCTGGGACGCAGGCCGCGCTGCACCGCCCACGTGGAGAAGTTGAGCGCGGCAGAACGATAATTCTCGAGAGTCTTCTCGGTAATTCTAGCAGCTTGGTCTGGGTCAAGTTGACGCGGCCCCCTCTGAATCATGCTGCTTCTTTCTGGATAACGCATCTGCTGATTGATGTGCGATGTGCACAAGTATAGTCTGATGTTCATGACCGCCTCCGCCTCCTGGACCGAGACGTTTTCTCCACTACCCCGTACCGTGATCATCACGATTGGCACCCTCCGCGTCCGAGGCGAAGATCACCGGGGCAGCAGGTAGATCCAGCGAGTACGTCATAAGCGGGATCACATCTCTTACGGCACGCACCTCCCTCTTCGCTGAGGCCCATCACCAGATTACCTTCCCCTGCTTCTTCTCCAACAGTTCGAAGACCATGGCTGGGATGGACATGAGCTCGCGGCGCAGCAGGGCCCCCAAGAGCCAGACGCCCACCAGCGCCCGCAGGAGCTCTACGTCCACCCTCGGCGCCTCCAGGATCCACGTGAGCCCCGCCTCCGGGAAGCTGGCCTTGGCGCTCGCCAGCTTCAGGCGAGGAGGGAAGCTCTGCAGCCCGTAGCACACGATCTTGACCCCCTCAGTGACCTCCTCACGCTCCGCCACCACGGAGCCCGCCTGCTCCCAAGCGTCCGCCGCTTGGCTCATCATCTACGCGCTCTCCGCTCGCGACGTGCCGTGCCTCTCCGACGCCGCCGAGCGTCACCACGAAGCCCGCCTGCTCCCAACCGCCAGTTGGTCCAGCATCTCCATGCTCTCCGCTCGCGACGCGGCGTGCCTCTCCGACGCCGCCGAGCACAGCCCGCGCCCACGTGCACGTGGGTCGCGCGGACCCCCCGGGCTTCAGGCAGACGGCTCCGCCCTTGCAGTACTGCCCAGTCATTACTCACCGAGCGCGTTCCACTACTCGCAAAGTGCTTACTTGCAAACGTCCGAAAAACAGATGTCGGCTTTGATGTAATGTATCGTAGATGCCGTGGCGCATCCAGGCCATTTGCGAGTAGTTACTTTTGCGAGTAGTGCAACGCGCTCGCCCAATTACGAGTCGGGGCTCAAGCGAGGGGGTCCATGCAAAAGGCATGAGGGGGGTCAGCCAGAGCGCCGGATTCTGCAGGGTCCTGCAGGACCAGGGGCGCTCTGACCCGGGCTTGGGCTCAGGATCCTGCAGGATCCTGCAGGATCCTCTGCAAGGCCTGATTGACCCGGGTTTGCATTGACCCGGGTCAGTAGATCCCCCCCCCATGGAGTAGATCTTGGCTGTCTTTGGCGCCTGTTTCAAGCAGGCGGGGCCTCTCCCCCAGAGGACGCGCTGTTGCAAACAGTCGCCGTAAGCAGAGGTCTTGAGCCAGACACCCCCCCTCCCCCCCCTTCCGCCCAGTGTCGAAACGCCGAATAAGAAACCGCTCACCTTGCAGCAATGCTCATTCGTCACGAAGAGTCCCGTCTTCTCTCGCCCTCCACGCTCCCCTGCGAGTGCCCTGGTCGCTCGCGTCCTGTCCTGTCCGAAGCGAACCTCCAGGACCCCTTCCCGCGTCAGGAAGTCGGCGCGCCGTCCTGACCAAACTGAGCGCGATCATGCGGAGCCCTGGAGGATATCCATCAGTCATTGAAAGTAGGTGTTTGGGAATTTCAGATTCCAATATACTTTAAACGGCTTCTTGTTTCAATGATCGAGTAACTTCACCTTTTCCGTCCTCCTTCGGGGGCGGACGGGACCCGATCTATTTTCAACGTCTTCCTACTTCATGTTTCTACCTACTTCTCCCTACCGATGGATACTGAGCGCGATCATGCGACGCAGTCTGGAGGATACGCTTGGAGTCGTCTCGACCTTAAGATGCCCAGTTTGTTCTTCCCTTGCTCAGGATGGGATATTGATCAAGGGATGGGCGACTGACCTTCTGACGGAGCTTGCCCATCCCCTCCCCCTCCACCTGTCTTCCTCTTCCCCCTCCTCCTTCTCGTTCTCCTCCTCTAACCCTCCCGCAACCCGTTCGGGGCAATCATCGCCTTCATCTTGGATTCGCTGTGGGGGTTGGGCACGTGCTGTCGGAACGGGTGGAGGGAGTTTGGAGGAGAAGGAGGAGGAGGAGGAGGAGGAGGAGGAGGATCAGGAGGGGGAGGAGGACG